GTGGGCAGTGTGGGAACACCGTATGACCCCACCCAGGCTGGAGAGGCAGCTTCACTCTGAAGGTGGGGCAAAGAAGACAGGCATGTTGACTGCTGCCAGCCCAGGCGCAGTCTCACAAGCACTTTTTGTTTTCCTCCGCTTGAGTGGTGTCTAGGGATAGGGTCTCACCATGTAGTCTGGGATGGCCTGGACCTGGCAGCCGAGCTCCTGCTCAGACTCCTGGGGGCTGGGATTACAAGCTTGGACCCTCCCTTCCCTTTATCCAGGCAAATTCAAGTAAGGGTCATTTCTGCTTCATCTTCCTATAAACATGTTCAAAGCTGCCAAAAGGATTGTTAATCAGAATGCTGACAGCTTTCAATTTCATTCAAACTAGGGGGGAAAAAATCCACTTAACCTTGCCAGGAGAGTAAAAGTTACTTCCTTGAGCTGCAAGGAAACTTGCAAAGTTCCCCCATCTAGCCATTTATGCAGAAAATTTCCAAAGAATGCTGGAACCCTCAGCTTTCATCCTTCCTCAGAAAATCTGAGCTGGTGGAGGACCCACGCCTTCCTAAGGCCTAAGGCAGCTACGTGGAAGGAGGAGTTATGGGTAGTGACAGATCCTGCTAGGGGGCTAAGGGCTTGGTTTCCAGCTCCTTGTCCACCTGGGACTGAGGTAAGGATGCATGGAGGCCAGCTGGGGGCCTGGGGACTCTGCGGCTGCTCCTCCTACAAGGCCTGGGGTAGTTAGTGTGTGTGTGTGTGTGTGTGTGTGTGTGTGTGGTTCAATGGTCAGCTATGAAGGACCAAGATACCTTTACTGCACCCCTGTCAATATAGGTTTTAATAACTAAAACCTAAGGACAAGTACCACAGTCTGACGTTTCCTTCTGTACCTGCTGACAACCATTAGAAACAACGCTTACTGGTTCTTTTTTAATCCCCTCTATTAGAAAACTTTATTCCAATGAGCTGCAAAAGTACAGGGCTGAGAAGTGACTTCTCTCTCCCTCCCTCTCTAATACATGCACTTACATCAGCACAGGCACAGGGGAAGATTTTAAAGGAATATGCCCCTTGTTTGGGCGCTTATCTTTTCAGGTTTTTAGTGGTGTTAGGGACTGAACCTAGGGCCTTGGCACAAGGGCCTTGGCCTAGGCTGACCTACATCCCCAGCCCTTTTAAGATTTTTTATTTTTAAAATTTGCCCAGGTGGGGCTTGAATTTGTGAGTCTCCTACTGTAGACAGCTAGGTTAGGTAAAAACATCCTAGGCAGCAGGATAAGCCAAGGCCCCAAAGGCATCTGCGCTGAAGATGCGGTACACTACACCTATGGGGGAGATGTGTCCTTCGAAGGCCAGAGCTCAGAAGTAAAATAAATGCACCCACACACTTCCTCTATGGACAAACAAGTGACTGGGGGCTGGACGTGTACCTCAGGAGCACAGCACCTGCCTGGAAAGTGCAAGGTCCTGAATTCAATCCCTGGTGCTGCCAAAAAACAAACAAACAAAAAATAAGTGATTTTTTTTTTTTTTTTTTTTGCATAACTGGGGCTTGAACTCAGGCCCTTGCACTGCCAGGAGAGCACTGACCATACTGAGCCATCTCTCCAGCCTGTGATTGGTATTCTAAATAGGTTATCACCTTGGGGAAGCCAGGAAGAGCCCCTCTTCTGCTCCACACCCACTTGCTACATGACTCAATTTCCTTTTTTTTTAAATTTTATTTATTTATTTAATTTTTTCCATAATTTTATTGAGAAACAAATAGCAATGAGACAGTTTCAAACCAAATTGGTAGGTCAGATTCAATAATTAACACATTGCATACATTCTTCCTAGTGGTTAATTGCTGTACAAGATGCAGACATGATATTCTATTTACAAACACTATTAGAACAAATCCCTCTATTCATTAAGAGAATGTAACTATGTATCTATCATAACCACTTTGAATACACAGATACAAAATGGACATTCATCTGTATCCTCTTTTTTGTTTAGTTCTGTCATTTGAATATTATAGGTATGTTAACTCAGCAAAATATTCTAAAAGAGTCCAGTAGCCCATAATAGTATTGGGTCTTCCGCTTGACTGGCAATGTCAGAAACTGTTGACCTGAGTCCCCTACAGCTCAACATAACAGCATGGCTTTACTTCTTATACTTCGTTTTTATACTTTTCTGCTGGATAGTTAAGACCAAGGTAAAGCAGGACCTATTCAATTTCCTATTTGATCCCCATTTAATCAATATTACCTGATCAGTTATGCTCTTAATCTTCTTAGTTGACCATAGTCTTGTCCCATCTCGTGCCTTCCTTGTGACTTCCCATCGGATCCATGTTACCTAAATGACTGTACGTGTATTCTTATTAGTTTAATAACCATTTTGCTCTGAAACATTCCCTTGAAAAACAGGGTCCTCTGCAACCCACTCGGGACCCCTTTTGTCTCTTGTAGAAGCTTTCTACCCCTAGTGTCTAGATTCTGCTTTTACCCTTTGTTGTTCCTAGAATTCATTCTTTTTTTTCAGTTTTTATTTATTTTGTATTTTAGGGAAGGGTCTACAGGGTGTTCAAGGTCTCACTATTACACTGGACTCCCAGTGATTCCTCCTGTAATCAAAAGAGCTGGGATTACAGACATGTGCCATCACGCTGAGTCTCAATTGCCATCTCAGCACGCCCCAGGGGCGGGGCCCATACAGCAGGCCTGGGGATCGAACCCCTGGCCCCCGTGCCTGCTTGCAGGTGCTTTAATCAGCTGAGCTATTTGGCTAGCCCCCATTCCTCAATTTTAAAGAACACAACTGGACATGGTGCAGGTTAGGCATTTTCTTTCCCCTATGGCTCCTACCTCAGCCTCCCAGGTCTGGGTCACCAGGAGCGACCACCATGTCTGGCCTTTGTTGTTCAGTTTTTTTGTTTTTTGTTTCTAAGAAAAAATGAAGTATGCTAAAGCCAGCAGTACTTTCAAACTTTAATGTGTTTAAAATGGAGGCTCAGCCATGTGCGATGTGTGTCCCTTATAACTCCAACACCGGGAAGCTCAAATGGGAGGATAACAAATTTGGGTCCAGCCTAACAATTTAGGAACTTGGTGAGACCCTGTCTCAAAATAAAAAATGGGCTGGGGATATAACTCAGTGCAAAAAGACCTGGGTTCAATTTCTAGTACTGCAAAAACAAAAACTAAACAGAACCCTGACTTTTATTTGAAGGCAGCAAAATGCCTGATAAAGATTCTATTTCTTAGCCGTTGCTTGCAGCTAGGAATGGTCAGACCTTCAGGCTGGCTGAAATGTAAACGAAGCCATTGGAAGGGGACTGAAAAGAGCAGTGTCGACAGACTCTTTGCTCAGACCAACAAGGCCTCTTGTCCCCCACTCTTTCCCCAGGTTTGGAGCAAAGACCCCAGCTGCGTCATCTCAGGCTAACATCGCAGCAGCTATTTGGAGGAGGGGACCTTGAGGGGGGAGTCACACACAAGAATACCAGATCCTGACATTCTTGGCTTGGCCAATCTCTAGTCATGCTGCTAAACCTTCTCTGTGGCCTGTGTTCCTGCTCACAAAATCCAGTGTAGTCAAAACCCCTAAGTCAGTTCAGCCAGCACCCCTCATCTGGACGTCTGATCACCCATGGCATTTGGTCTTCTCAGCTGACCAGCTTCCTTGCTCTCCACCCCAGGGACATCTGATCACCCTGGCTTGATCTCAGCAAGAATCCCATTCAATTGGTTTACCCAGGGCCCCTTCACCCCAGATGTTTTCTTTTAGTAAGTTTCCATGTGACACCTACTGTGCCAGGCCTTCACACTTTCAGTTGTTCATGTTGCTTGCAGTCTTCTGACTGCTACGCCTTCAGACCCAAGCTCGGCAAAACAGTCCCACTGCAAGGGGTGCCAGCGAAAGCCCTCTCCCAACCCGAAAGACAGGGAAGGTTTGGGTCCTTTGCTACCATCCACTTCCTCCGCCAGTCTTAAGTTGACCTATTTCCATTTCTCTCACTTAACTGTTTTGTTTAAACCCCACTGGGGTTTTCATTTCTTCTTTTGGAATTTTGAGTCTCACTGTGTAGCCCATGCTGGGCTAGGACTCACATTAATTCCCCTGCCTCAGCCTCCCAAGTGCTGGGATTATAGCCATGGGCCACACAGTCCAACCTACTTATTATATTGAGTTAATCAATAACTACTATAGCAGCTCAGACATCATCCAATAAAATGCAGATTAAGACCAAATAGAAGGGCTGGCCTGACAGCTCAGCAGGCCAAAGCACCTGTTTAGGCAGAGCACAGCGGCCAGGGTTCGATTCCCAGCATGCAGTGCCAGTAGGGCACGCTGATGACAACTGAGACTGGACGTGGTGGCGCATGACTGTAATCCCAGTACTTGGGAGACTGAAAACAGGAGAATCAC